ATGTTACATGCATTATACCATGCAGGAGCGTGTGTGGGAGGGATTCTGTGGGAGAACCAGCGCGCACCTGCCTCACCTGGTTAGAGAACATGTCAGTTATCTTGCTCATGAAGTTTGAATTAATTAATGATCACTAGAGACTGCTTTAGCTAACAGCCAATGTCTTGGGTTAAGTAAACTCTTGGGTAGAAAGCGAAGGAGTTTCCAGAAAATGGTGATTGCCATGTTAATGGGCAGAACATCTAGTGATTATTACAGTTACACCAAAATATGTAATTAAATATTTAATCTCCCCCTCCCCCATCCCCTTTCTGGCACTCCCAAGTTAACTCCATCCCTGCAGCATCTCTACATGAGTGTAGGAAGCAACGAGCCGTGTGCCCAGGATCTAGATGTTGGTGTCCAAGCTGGATATTTTTATGGGGGAGGGGGTTTCTTCTCAGTGAAGCAGCTGTTGTTGCAAGGAGAGGAGATGGGTCCATAGGCAGCAGAGTCCATCTTTCAAAGCTGCTTGTGAAAGTGACCTGTGGGTGGATGTTTTAAAACAGTCAGTGCTTGAGCAGTAATCCAAGCAGTCTCTTGTAGGGTCTATGTAGCTTGACAATTCCTATAGCAGCCGTTGCACCACTGTCTCAGTACAGTCACTGGGAGGAGATGAAACTGGAACTGGATGTCTTTGGCTCACTGGGCGAAGATGGGACCCCAGAGAGAATCCTTTTTCCTCCTGAAATGATGGAGGGCTGGATTCTCAACTCCAACTGGTTGAGGACGTGAAGGACATGCAATTGTTTTGCACTTATGTTATCACTGCTTCCCTCAGTTCTGCCCCAGCAAGAGGCCTCTACTTCTTGGATATAAAACAGAGAGCCCAAGAGATTCCTCTCATTACACTCGGTCTTTAAACAGGAATGCTTATTAAATAAAATTATTACAGTTACAGCTGCAAACAGGCAAGCTTCTACACAACTTGTGTTCCAGCTTTGTCTCCCTTTTTTATTTAGCCAGGAGCCAAGTGCACTTAGTACTTTATGTAGTAGGCAGCGACACCTAGTGTTTGGATCACGTGCCTTGGTATGCAAGATGCAAGGTGGGTTTTTTTTGCTTTTATCTTTTACTGGACCAACTGCATAGTTGGGAGAGATGCTAAAAAGCTTTTGGGCTCAAAGTGGGATTTCAGAGATTTCACTGGGAAGAGATGGGATTTGAAGGGCACTTTGTACCCGAAAACTCTTCTGATATCTGGAATCAAGTGTACAGTTGATCCAATAAAAGATATTACCAAACCTCCTTTCCCCCTCTTTGCTTTGTGCGTATTTCCTGGACCGTCATGGGCACAGCAACACTCCAGTTCCGCTATGAGTAAACGTATTACTCCTGTAGTGGAGAAGCACTGGAGTACAGTACCATTACAGTGATCCACCTCACACTAGAGTCTGCAAGGAGGTAGTTCAGAGTCATTATGGGGAGTGGGGAAATTCTGTATTTTTGGGGTAGTCCTCAGTAGCCAGAGCCACAAGCTTCATGTGTTGGAGTCATAACGGAACAAAGAATTGGATTCCAGGTGCATCCTTACCAATGAGCCATTTAGAACTGCACTGACCCGACAGAAATTGAATGCCACATTTAAGCACCACAGAAATGTTTCCCTGCTGTTGTAACACTGCTCTGACTATGACTCGTTGAGAGATTCTGTGGGACTATAAAACTGAACCCAGAGCGACTGCTGTGTCCCAGCTAACAGCAGTGCCCTCTAAGTGACTGCTCCTTTGCTTAATCTGCTGACTTTTTTAAATTTTTTGGAAGGAAGGGAGGGTGCATTACATCTCCATTATACTGAGAATGAAAGAGGGTTAAAGCATAATGGCCATTAGAGAACTCTTTGCCAGCTGCTACTTCTGTTGCTCATTCAATAATTCCCTTAATGTTTTGTCCTAATGGAGCAGATTATTACTATTATTTTATTTTATCAAGATCACCTATTGCATAAAGAGGAGGAGGGAGACCAGAGCCAAGAATGGACATCAAGCTGTTAGCTGGCTCCCATGTATTTATTTCTATTCTTGGCAAGCAAGATTAAAAGGACCAGCATGTGTAGCTGACTTCAGCTCTGTCTCTGTGGCTCTCTCCAGCCATCACCCTGAACTGTAGCCTTGTGAATAAAACTGCTGGGACTAGGAGATCTAGCAGCAGTTCCTGACCCTGCTGCATAATCTCAGTATGACCCCTGGGAAGTTGCCTTGTTTGTCAGTGCCTCAGTTCCCCATCACTACTCTTTCCACCTTTCATTGATCTTGTCTATTTAAACTAAAGCTTTTTGGCATGAAGGTTGGTTCTTACAATATGTGTGCACAAGTGGCTGATGCAATGGGACCATGATCTTGGCTGGCACATTTTTCTTCTGCTTTACTATTATGTCAGCAGTAACACAGATTGCTCTTTTGTTTTTTTGTTTTTTAGCTTGATTCTATTTAATACTCATTGAAATTTCTGCAAGACACCCTCAAAATATCTCCCAAAGATTAAGAGTAACAGTGCTCAAGTCAACCAGAAATGAAACTGGGGGAGAAGGTGGGAGGAGTTGCTCAGCAGATTATTTGCATATAATAAATCTGATCTTTGCTTTCAGAGACTTAAGAAAATATTAAATCTTCATTAATGTCATATTTTTCACTTTAAAGTAACTGCTTCAGAGCTGGCACAGCATGTGCCTGCCTATAGCCAGGTCTGTGTTAGGCATGGTGTGCCAGCATAGCTGTCTCTCTATGAAATAGTTGTGTGCTCTTACTGTGGACATGTGTCATGCCATCAAGACTGAGTGTTTTGCTAGTCGACCTTTATTTTAGGCCCCTCCATGAAATGAACATACCAGTACCTTCTCACTGGTATGGCTGTGCCTGCACTAAAGGCTCTCACTTGCCCACTTCTGCTTGGTAAGGGAGCACAGCCCTTGCTGGCATAGTAATGCCAGCAAAAGTTGGTCTTTTTTTCCTCCTTAAGGTCCTGATTCAGCAAAGCACTTAAGCCTGTACATAACTTCAGGCTTGTGTTTTTAAGTTCCATTGAGGTCATTGGCCACGAAGCACATGCCTCAGTGCTTAACTGAATTGAGGCCACGGTGTCTAAACGCTAAATACAGACTGCAGTCTTATCTGTCTGGGCCAGGGCTCAGCTACATTGATGAGGTGAGCCTGCACTGTCAGCTGTCTGTTCTGTACCAATAATGTAGATAATAAATACACTCTCCAGGGCTGGCAGCTGGACACTGTTCACAGGCATTACAGTTCCTTTAAAAAGATGACTCAATACTGAAATACACCAATGCGATTTATGGACTATTCATTTTTTTTGTCTTTTTTTAATAACTTCTTAACTTCCCCTTGAGTCCAAATGTGAGTTTGCAGTGAGAGGAACCTGGGCTCGTCAGGTGGGGTCATGATCCATAAGCCGTTTTCCTCATTCTGGTGATTGTAGGCTCTCCCAGCCCAGGCAGGATTGTGACTGCAGACTTCTTATTTTTCTTTTGCTGAGAACTCCTTCCATTTCAAATGAGCCAAGAAAACAAAAATAGCCACACAATTGCTTGGGCAGCAATGGCACCTAGGAGGAGAAAAAGAGGATTAGATGACTTTGTTCTCATTCGGAAGGCACTTGCCTGCTACTCTGAGTGCTCCACCGAAAGAGAAAAGTGCTATCATCAATACAGCAAAGGATTGGAAATGGATATCCCAGCCCCCCACATATAGACTAATGGACTCTCCTGCTGCCTACCATGAACAGACACCATTACTCAAGGGAGGAGTTTTGTTTTCAGGAGCCTTGCATAGAGGTTCAGTATTAGGTCCCAGCTCTCATGTTATTAGGCTAACAAATACTAAAACAACTGTAAAATTGATGGCTGCTAGCCATTTCCATGTCTGTGGGTACAATCGGAGCCCCTGATCAGGGTGGGGCTTCATTTGCAGTGTCCGAAGAGGGGTCCTGCACCATCTACCCCACATTTCCCACCTCCCCTTTGGGCCTCGTACGGTTCTGTCCAATGACAGTGAGATGCATTGGGTACTCTGGTATTGCTGCTTTGCAACGAAATGTATTGCTGAGTCCTTTTTCCCAGAGCGCAGTAGAAATAAACAGGCAGTTTACCCGCTCCGTGATCCCCAAGTGTGCCAGGCCAGCACAGCCCTGACGTAAGATGACACAGTTCCCCATGAAGAGAACTCCCACTAGATGCTGTTCCCACCTATGCCGGGGTTAATTTTTGACCCCAAGGGGCCCAAGATGCATGCAAATGATTTGAGGCTAAATCCTCAGCTGGTACAAAGTATGATACCTCTGTAGGACTCAGCAGGATCTCTTACAACTAACTTCATCTCAGGATCTGGCCCCAACTTGCTGCACATATTTAAATACACAGTGCTAATGGTTGTAAACTGAGGTTTCCCACTTGCAAAAAAGGGATAATAGTGCTTTATTCCCCCTTTTTATGCAGAGCTTTGGAATCTGTCCAAACAGCACTTGCAGCTGCTGTTATAGTAATAAACAGGGCAGTTCTCTAACACCGGGCTGCTGGATTTCCCTGAGCTTTGCCCCTTTCATGGCCTGCTCCCAGGAGTGAATTGAGCAGGAGGAGAGCTGAGAGGGTGGTGGGGCCAGGTTGTAAGCCTAGTGCCTGCTGCTCATGTTGAAGGGTTTCCCACTGACAAAGCAGCTTGTGCCTTACAGCACTGAAAGCTCTGCTTTTGCAAGAGAAGAGAGAGCAGGCAGCACCAGTAGTGTTTGTAAGAAAGCATTTGCCCAGAGGCTGTGCTCTCAAATAGATACAGCACCCAAACATTAATCCTCATATTGGGAGTAATTAAACTTGTTCTAATAGGCTGGGGTGAAAGTTGTGATGTTCCCCTGTTCCCCTTTGGTTGTTTGTCCCACTTGCTGTCCAGCTACAGTAGCTGGGGGGTGTGGCTGTTAGTGGCTGCTAATACCTGTTGTTCTGGTCTCCTCTCCAGGGGGGAATGATTGCCTTGCTGCTGTCTATCCTGTGCCTGGTGATGATCCTCTACACCCGTCGGCGATGGTGCAAACGGCGTCGGGTGCCGCAGCCCCAGAAGAGTGCCAGTGCCGAAGCAGCCAATGAAATCCACTACATCCCCTCTGTCTTGATTGGGGGCCATGGGCGTGAGAGCCTGCGCAATGCCCGCGTGCAGGGGCACAACTCCAGTGGCACCCTGAGCATCCGTGAGACACCCATCCTGGATGGCTACGAATACGACATCACTGACCTGCGGCACCACCTGCAGCGGGAGTGTATGAACGGTGGCGAGGACTTCGCCAGTCAGGTTACCAGGACCTTGGACTCACTGCAGGGCTGCAATGAGAAGTCCAGCATGGATCTCACACCAGGTGTGTTGACAGGGGGACACACAATGTGCCCTCAGCATACTTCTCTGCTTCTTTCTGTCTGGGCTTGCCAGAGTTCTTTTCCTTTCCCTGTGTAAACAGGGCTGTTTCCAGCCCTGGGCTGTGGGTCATGTAAATGCCACCTCTTTATCCTTTCCACTGTGCAGGTTTTCAGACCTGACCCTAAAGCCACAGCAAAGACATCCAGGGCAGTCTGTAAAGCCATTCGTTTGTGGTTTTCCAGCATGTGGGGCATCAGTGAGGTGCCCTTGGAGCCCTGTTTGGGGCCCTCCCCATAGGTTAGAGCTCCCTTGAAGCCAGCTGCAGCAGCACATGGACAGCTATGGGCTGTGGCATTGCAGAGAGCACTGGTAGTGCTAAACACAGAGCCAGGCTGTCAGCATGGGCACCTATACCAGGACCTTCTCTTCCTGCACAGACACCTAAGCCAGCGTGTCGATTGGAAAAAGCAGTGTGTGATGTTTTGTCCAAATGCAGCTCTCCACCTCAAGTTTCACGCCCAGTCCTAGAAGCCTTTGCTCCTTGTGGAGCAAGGTGGGAGGGGTGAGAGAGAGACTTTTTGAACCTTTATTATAAATAAATAAATGTTAAAAACAAAAGGTGAGAGTCCAAAAACATGTGCCATCCCTCCCTCCAGGGGCTGAGCAAGAAACACTTGTCAGTCACAAAATGCTGTATCCCCAGAGACTGAAACCCCCAATGAGTGGCAAGAAGTTGTTGTAGAGGCAGAAGAACCCAAACTGTTCTGGGAGCTGCAAGGGAACCTTGGAAATCCAAGGACAAATCTTCCAAAGTTGCCAAAGGGACCTGACAGTCCTATTTATTTTAGCCACCCATGGAAATGGGCCACCCAGATTGTTTGGGCAGCTTGGAAAATCTCAGCCTGTGCTTTGTACCAAGTTATGGTGGCCAAATTAGATCCTGTCTACACAACGGCTTGTAGCAGTGATGTCGCTGGGTCAAGTGTCACTATTGGTGCAGGGGCCCCTTGTTTCTGTTGACCTGGTCATGCAGATAGATAGCTCTAAGTGTCCATTAGCAGACTCAGCAAGTTGCCTCCAAATAAAGTTGGAGTGTCCAGCCCAATTGCTAGCGTTTGTCAAGGAGGAAAGGGTCAGTTCTCTAAACCAACTTCTGGTCTTCCCATGATTGCTTCTCTTCTTCCCTGGTCCCCTGGGTGAGGGTGTGGGAAGAAGGATGACCCAGTCATGAGGGTAGTGGCTTGGAAGCTGGGACATCCAGATACAGTTCCTTGCCTTGCCACTGAAACTCTGAGTGATCTTGAGCAAGTCAGTTAATCTCCCTCTGTGGGACCCCTGGAGGAAGTATGCTAACATTAGGTTCCACCAGATCTGCATTGCCTCTTATGCCATTGACACCAAGGCTATGTTAGTATGGTGGACACAGAAGGAATTCCTTCCACTCAGGCTAGATGCCCGATGTGGTGTTTCGTCTGCCACAGACTCCTTGCTTGTTGGATTTACTGGTGGTAACAATGCACTGTTAGAGCCAGATGGCACCAGAGGGCAGGGATCTGTGAGCATGCTGCAGGTCACGATGGAGAGAGGCCACTTTCTGCCTATTTGCACCAGCCCATATGCTTTGGAGTTGGAAGAAACCTACTTCCCCTCCCTGCAGGGACCTCATCAGTTTTGCTGGCCGGACCATCATGTGAGATGTCTCTAGTCCCTGCTCCCAGACTCTTGGAAAGGATGCACATGCTTATTAATGATTTCTCTCTCACCTTCGTTTTCTTTTTTAAAGCCTTGTATTTATTTATTCATTTATTTGTTTTCTTCTGAAAGTTTTTGCATGAAATTCTTCCTGCGCAGGAAGCGACAATGCCAAGCTGTCCTTGATGAACAAGTACAAGGATAACATCATTGCTACCAGCCCTGTGGACACCAATCACCAGCAGGCCACCTTGTTGTCCCACACCTCTAGTAGCCAGCGGAAGCGGATCAATAACAAAACAAGAGGTAACCCTGGGAAGCAATAAGGGAAGGGCATGGACTTCTGTTCATGCAGCACAGCTAGATGCTCCTGAGACTTCATTTATGCTGAGGATTTGCCTCCATTTCAGCTGTTGGTGTAACTGCACCAATATAACCCAACCCAGTGCATCTGCAGCAGTGGAGCATGCCCCAAGAGGCTCTACTAGCACAAATGGTAGCTTTGTTGGGTCATGCTAGGCATCTGCAGAGCAGGGCAGAGTTCATGCTTTATGGGGCAGGGAGAGGGGGAGCCCTTTGAGTGTCCCATAGCAGCACCTTCTGGCTATCCACAGCCTGTGTTGGTGATAGTAATGCCAATGTGATAGTCTCAATAATGGTTCTGAAGTTGGGACAAGCATCTGAGTGATTTGAATGAACATGGGAAGTTCATCCCAACCCCTTGGATCTACACACTTGGTCTGTTACTCTCAAGGCTGCCATTTCTCACAGAGCTCATCAATACTTACTCTTACCTGGCTGGGAAATGCAGTAGACACTGCAGACACTGTCTGTGATGCTCGAACTTCTGGTCCAGACTGGGATCCACAAGTGCACAAGGAGAATGTGAAAAGCTAGCACAACTAGGGAAATAAGGAAGTGTAGCTCTTTTGCCCTCCAGCAAGAGGTCTGGCTTGGAGGGAAATGTCCAATAAATTTTACATTTCTAAATGGGCTATTTCAGAGGCTTTGAAGGGAAGCCTATACATTACTAACCATCCAGAAGGAGAGTGGCTGCAAAAGTAGGACCCCATAGTTGGGGCCAAAGTATGGGAGAATAGGGGGTATCTTTTGTAATGTGGTTGTTTCCTGTTCATAAAATACTAAGGGTGAGAGGCTATGATCTTGTGGCCTCTTAGCAAGACTCCTTACAGGGAGAGTTCCCAACTCAGCTCATACAATCCCAACAATTCTGTGTAGCCTGTGTTGTCCTGATGTCATAGTCAGGTAATTCCCACTGTCATGAAGAAATGCCTGGGGCTAGGACCTTGTCGGGGTAAAAGGCAAGTTAGGTTGACCAAGTTTATAGTGTGTTTCCAGTGTTTTGTACCTTATTTATTTGTTTTTATTGTGGGTTCTGTCTTTTTCTAACTATAGCTGGCTCAGCTTTCCTAAATCCCGAAGGGGATTCTGGCACAGAGGCTGACAATGACCCACAGCTGACCTTTTACACTGACCCATCCCGGAGTCGACGACGCAGTAGAGGTATGTGTTTCGGGTGGGGAGAAGGGAGGCTGCGCACGCACGTGTGTGTGTGTGTGTGTGTGTGAGAGAGTGAGAGAGAGCAAGAGAGAATGAGAGAGAGAGCGAGTGCGAGCGAGCGCAAGAACACCTGTGTGCACACTATGGTCAGGGAAATAGAGGTGCTGAATCAACAAGAGAAAAGATCCCTGCTGGGCATAGAGTCCTGCTAGAGTTGTTTCTCTGGGTGCATTTTCACATCTCAGTCCCTATCCAGCATGAAGGTTTCAAGAGATAGTTGTAAGTGCTCCTGGCCAAACTGGTCATGCCAGAATCAATAGTGAAAATGCTCATTGACTTCATTAGGGCCAGGACTTGGCCTTTATCCTTGCTGCCAACTTCTGCCACTCCCAGAAAGCAACGAAGTCCCCTGCAAAACGTTCAGCATAGAGTTGGAGGTTTTCCCCTTCCTGGGGCAGCTGAGTTCTGTTTTATCTTTTACCTTGTTATTCCTTAGCTGGCTCCATGTTACAAATGTGCAGCCTTGTGGGTTCTTTATAAACACCAGCTGTGGCTGTGATTTCCCCCCTTCCCCCCACTGAATTATTTGTGGTATAGGTCAGGAATCCAAGCCAGAGTGGATTTTCACAATTCAGAAGATGCTTATGCTATCATCTAATCCTTAACCAGTCAGCCAGCTGCATAATGTTATTTGGTAGATCTTCTCAGTAGAGGATGAAATACATTCAAATTTTGCTGCAGGCATCTCCCTGGATCTGTTGTATATTAATGAGTAACATGCTTCAAAGAGTGGCCTCTGTGCCTCTCTGTTTGGCATATTACTGCTGTTGCTTTAATAAAACAATCTCCAGCAGGTAAAGGAAACCAGTTGAAAAAATGCCATTTATTGTCAGTCTGTCATCAGCAATGGGCAATATGCAAGCAGAGAGAAGGCAACAGAGCCTGACTTGAAAGCAGCGAGCAACAATTATAAGAACCCACCCTTTCTGTATAGATGGGAATATGAAACTGAAATGTTTGAAGTATAATTGACCACGCCATCCATAAATAAAATGACAAACACGGTTGTTCTTACATGAGTTTTTTTATGTCTTGTGCCTCAGCCACAGAGGACCTTCAAAATAGGGACTGAAACCTTGAACTTGATTCAATATTCTGTGGGAAGGAAAGGAAAAAAAACAGGCTTGACTACTCATGGCAGCCTGTTACCTAAGAGTCATGCTACAGCATTCTGCATTAACAGGGATTTCCAAAGAGTGGAAGGCTTTATGCGTGGGTGTTTTTCATTGGTGGGTTCCTGTTGACTGCTAGCAGGGGCAAGCATAACTGAGGCCAGCTTACCATCCACCAAGGAGGAATGGAGTCTCTTAACCAACTGGGATGGTAGAAGACATTAGTCATGGATGCTGCTGCATAAGAGTTTAGCATCTGGGGGTACATCTACATATGTGCAATTAATGTGCCTGCATTTTATGTGGAGCAAATTTAGGCATATTAAACTGGGCCCCTGCACACATCTGAACATGCAACTGTCAGGAGCAAATTTGCTGCCGTGGGGAGCAGTTCAGTTTATGGCTGCCCTTGCCCTGCTCTGCCTGCCTGCAGCAGCTAGGGGAAGCTCCAGGCTCCCCCAGGTGCTAGCCCAGGGCTGTCAGGGAGTATGGGGGCTGGTCCCGATCTCTGTGGGCAGCTGCCTCCCAGTCTTGTGGAGATCAAGACCCATCCAACATAGCTGGGAGGCAGTGTGCTTTCCAGCTGGGACAGCTTTCCCAGCCACATGGAAATCTGGATGGAATCTCATCTCCACATGGCTGGGAAGCTGCATCTTGCTGAGCTGGGACAGCTGTCCTTGCTCTCTGTGGCCCCCTGCTGCTTAGGCTGACTGGGAGTAATTTGCTTCCAGTCAGCATCTACGTGTGTACTTCGGTGCATTAGTTTAATGTGCCGATTTCTAGTACCTGTATCTACAGATACTAGAAAATGGTGCATTAGACTATTCTACTATGCAGTAATTACTGCGCATATGTAGACGCTAACGCTTTACTGCACATTAAATTATGCACAGTATGTAGACACAGCCAGTGGGTAGTTAGAGTACCCTTAAATCATAGGCTGAATTTACCAGTTACATGTGTGTAACTTCTACCAGAGAAGACTTAACAGCCATGGCACACTCGTCACAATACTTTCCTCTGTCCCCAGTGTCACCTTTGTCTTGCTCAGGTGTTGTATCAGCTACTTATTCTTAACTCTAGAGCTGGTTGTATCTTGGTACTGGACTATCTTGTTGGCAGTGATAGGGATGCATGTGGGGAATGATGGGTAGAACATGTGTCTTTTGTCACTTGAGTCAGCGTCATCTAACTAGTTAATTGAATGGCTGCTGAGGATAACAATAAGGACCAGAGAGAGAAATGATTCTTGTGAAGATGCAGGTTCCCATTGCTACCCACTAGGTACATCCCTTTGGGAAGTACCTGGACCATTTTAGTGCTTTACTTGGGACATCTACCACCTTGGTCTTGTGAAACAGCAGTCTCTCATGGTCAGGAGTGTCCAGCGCTGCAGAGAATTCCAGGACTATGAGAACAGATATTTTCTCCTTTGTGTATTGATAGGAAATCATCCAGCAGTGCCATTCAAGATGGTTTTACCATCCCGTTCTGACCTGAATCCAGTTTTTGGTGGGTGCAGTATTCTGAGCTTATAATTATCTTTTGACTAGCTCCTTTGAACTTGCTCAGGAATGGCAGGCTTGAATACTGGGAATTAACTAGCAAGAAACAATGTATATACAGTAAAATCTAACAGTATTGGTAGTCCTATATCAAGGAGGAAGGAAAGAGACCCCCTTTTTAAACACTTTGGCTACTTCAGTTCAGAGTACCTCCTGTTCCTCATTATTCTTTCCCAATCCTGGAGAGGTATTATGAGCTGAAGTTGGAAGTTTTGTCCTGGGAGTCACCAGATTGTAGCAATTAAGATGTATGGCAAGTCAGAGTTGGAGTATAAATTTTTAGGCATATGTCTTTGATAAGAAGTCCAAGGAAGTCAGACTCAAGCTTTTAAAGGCAGATGAACTCAGACCTAAGTAAGTTTTCTCTGTGTGACTCCTTCAGATGAGCTATTAAAAGCCAAGGTCCTATTTGCCCTGGACAGTCAAGATCCTGTGGCACCTATTCTCTGGAGCCTAGGAAGTTGCTATCATTGAGAAACAAATCCAAAAAAGGCCAGAAAGGTGAAAAAAAATTGAAGCCCGCATCTGTCTTTTTTCTGATTGTCTCTGACCTGCTTTAAAGTCAAGCCAATACAATGGACTGGTATATACAGTAGTGTTGTGAAAGAACCTAAACTTTTGTGTAACCAGCCATTGAAGAAGAAAAGAATCATCATCAGTAGAGATGTTGGAAGTGGGGGCTGAATTCTGCTCTCATGCTGGTGCATAATTCAAAGTGGCTTCAGAGAATGACTTTACTGGACTTATTCTGGGTTTACAGATTTGCTACTGAGAGAAGAATTTGGACCAGTTTCCTTTTCAGAAGGTTTTGGGGAGGGGAGTGGGAATTGACCTGATGTCTTGGCCTCAAAATGTACCCTCCTCTCACTGGAAGGCAGTGTGCTATTTGGCCATCTTCCTACTACTGTGTTGTCTATTACACACAGCACTTGAGGATGAAGTGATGATACCTGGTGTAATTTGTAAAGTGATTTGGGGTGAGCATCATTTATGTAGGTGTGAGGCAGATTTCTGTGTGATTTCTAACTAGCCATTTCCTCCCTAAATCTGGGTACCATGACATCCTGAAGAATAGCTTCTTTCGCGTGCATGTACTCACATTACATGATGCCTCAAAACAGCTCTCTCCATGCCTGAAGGATTGTAATAGCTGTTAGGCCTCAGTTTAAGAAAGTTTTAGGTGGTTTTACCCTCTTTCCCCTACTCCCATTACATCATGGAGTTGCCTTTTTCCCTGCTCAGGTATTGGGCCAAATGTCAGAGAGGGGACAGGTAAGAGATTACAGGATTCCCAGCTGCTGGAGGATGTGAACAGAAGCTGTCACTCTAAACTTGTAGCTGAGACAGTGACAGAACCAATTGTAAAAGCTGAATAGGTTTAAGCAGTCCATGAAGCACCATTAATAACCCTTGGGAGCCTGAAGTGTGCAGACTCATGGGCTGATAGCAAGGAACACTACAGCAAGTGTTTAAGGGCACAGCCACTTTGTTATTAGCAGCACTACCTCCCTACCACCCCAGAACAGCTCAAAGAAAGCTGCAGGCTCTCTAGTTATGATTCTTTGATCCCAAAGGGGTTTTGGGTGGATAAAGGGATAAGGTTTTGCTTGGGAAGATGGCCTCCCTAGGGTCTTCTCTGCTGCATCCAAAGCTATTGACAAGAAGGTGGGAGTGTGTGGAAGGAGACGGAGTTGGGCATCTCTCAGGACTATATTCTAGTGATGCTGATGTAAGAAGTTGATGCTGCGACTCTGATGTCTCTGCTCTGTATCTCTCTTCTGCTGCTCCAGTGGGCTCACCCAGGAGTCCTGTGAATAAGACCACTCTGACTTTGATAAGTGTCACCAGCTGCGTGATCAGCCTGGTGTGCTCGTCCCACATGAGCTGCCCACTCATTGTCAAGATCACCCTGCATGTTCCTGAGCACCTCATTGCTGATGGTAAGCAAGCATCTCCCTCTTTCTTCCTCCCTTCCCTCTCTTCCACTGCTCCTCCCACTGTCTGACTAAGAGGGGAGTGGTCAAGGGGTTATGCTGAATCAAAAGTGTATGGGTCTGCCAAGCCCCACCTCTGGCATACTGAGTTCCTTCAGGCAAGTGGAACATTATGATGCTGAACAATTGTCATATGGAACTTGATGTGAGTGGAATACTCCAGGAGAGCCTGATCGTTTTGGGAACACGGTCTGAAATTATGGGCAGGAGCAAAGGCCTCCCTTTCTGGGTCACCATCCTCAGCACAGAGGCTGTATGTGTGGGGAAGGTTTATTCCTCTTACATTTGATTTGAAAAGGACCTAGTTATTGCAATGGGTTTGAGGGGAGCTTCCTGTCTCTGTGACGGTAGTTCCAGCCTTTCCACTCTTTGCTTCTCTTTCAGGGAGCCGCTTTATCCTGCTGGAGGGCAGCCAACTGGATGCCAGCGACTGGCTGAACCCAGCACAGGTTGTCCTCTTCTCCCAGCAGAACTCCAGCGGGCCCTGGGCATTGGATCTGTGTGCCCGACGACTTTTGGATCCATGTGAACACCAGTGTGACCCAGAAACTGGTATGTGGGAACTGTCTCTCTTGGCCTGAATGGGATCAGTGAGATTAACTACTGGTCATTTATGACAAGTTTGGCCTTTGGGGTCATTTTAAAGGCTACTGATTTGTATCTGTATGAAGAGCACCTTGTGAGTGCATAGTCTAGTGGGCACCTTGCTCCTGTGGGTGAAATTTTTGGTACGGACTTGAAAACTTGACCAAGTCTTCCTGATCCTGATCAATAAAGGATCAGGTGCGTGTTTATATTAGATCCTTCATTATTTTGACAACACTGATAGCTTTCTGTGAGGGATCCCTCATTTCTATCCCCTTTCCCAAAGTGCTTGTAAAGGGAGGACTCAGATGTAACAAGACCAGGTCTACCTGTGAGCTATGAGAAAAGTCCCTATACTCTTTGATTGGTATTTCATGCCACAGAATGAAAAGTAGATTGCTGAGGTCCCAGTGCAAGGCTTTGAACCTTCTCTCTATTGTTCTGCAAGAGGAGGGAAGTGAGGCTTGATTCAGGACTGTATCTTGCCTTTGTTCCCTTCCATTTCTATACAACTATAGCTGTCATTCAAATAGGTAGAGCTCTAGCCACAGCCTGTAAGGAGGGGGAGTACAGTCATTCACCATTTGTGAGTGGAAAAGGAATATGAGCAACATGGATGCAGGTGTCCCATCCACATGGTGCATGAAATTAACCTAGTACACATCATTAACGCCGTGTACTGTGCATAATGCTAGCACAAGAATACAGGGATGTAGATCAGGCTACTAGGCCTTGAGGTAGCAGTCAGATGGAGAAATTCAGGACACCTGTAGCTAGCTAAGCTGAGATGCACAGGGCACGGCTACATTACCTCTCTGCTGTGCCTGAGAGCCCTGCTGTGAAGCATGTTCCATCCATTTGCTCCTGGTTTGCATGGGCCACCCCCCCCAGTGATGAGAGAATTTAACTGTAGCATGGAGCACGTGTCTAATGTGGCTCTGTCTGTCTGGCCTGGCTGTGCTTCTTGATATGTGCTCAGGGCTGCCATAAAGCAGTTGTGCTGGCTTATTTCCAGGAGGTAGCATGTGCAGAGCAGAAGCGGGTGAGCAAGCCACACTTCACAGCGGCGTTCTGGGAGCAGCTAGAGGTGGTGTTACTGAGCCCATAGTGTCATGATGAGAGCCAGGTACTTGGGGGAGTTGGGGATAGGGAGCAAAGGGACTAAGTCTCCCACGTTTGGGAGGTGTTCTGGGACAGGAGCTGGTATTTCCTTTTCCCCTTGGCCCCTGCAGCTCCCAGTGCTTTGTAGCTCATCACACCGCAGTCCTGTTGCTTTGGGATGTGCCCCATCCCCGGCTGGGAAGCAGCTCTCTCTGCACCTGCCAGTACACTGTGGCCAGCATTACCTTCCATTGTGTTCAGGTTGCAACTTGGCCCAAGTACATTAAGGTGTATCAATGTTTTTGGCAGGGAAGTGGCTGAGGGAAGGTGAATTTTGTCAATTCAATGCATCCCACAGCTGCCTCTGCCAGCTGGGTACAGCCACAGGCTACAGCTTCCTTCTATCTCTGGCAAATCCCAAGGAGGGACAGTGATAGAAATGCTGTCTGCCTTCCCCCAGGCCAATCTACCTTTCTGCGTAAGAGGCCTTTCTGCTGCAAGGTGCTATCCACAGCTGCAGGGACTCCGGCCCAGTGGCTACTATGGAGGAGGATGCGGTGCCAGAGGGAGCTTAGCTTTCTAAGGTGGGATTTTCAGAAGCTCTCAGTGCTGGCCTTTCTCTGCTCCCATTGGATCAGTGGAATTATTACCAATGATTTAGAGTTCAGCTGCTGATATTAGTGAGAGCTGCGTCAGGTTGTTGCTGACCGCTTTGAAAATCCTACCTTGAGTTCTTTGATGTGAAGGTGTTCATGAGCAGAATATTGCTGTGGCACCAATTTTTTTGTGCTAGTTATGGGCCAGAGCCACAGCTGGCGTAAATCAGTGCAGCTCCATCGGAATCTGCTTCATTGAACTTGATGGAACAGGCCTGAATTGGAAGGAGCATTGCCCACCTACAGCAGCTGAGATCTGTCTGTCTGTGTCTGTCTTTCCCCTCTTTGTAACTCCCAAGTGGTAATGCAGAATATTGGATAATCACATGTAGTCCACAAGCCATGATGTCAATGGCAGAAATGCAGATAAGGCAACCTCATGTGAGACGCAACCCATCCCTTCCCAGGACAAAGGTGCATCCTCTTTTTGTAGTAATTAGATGTAGCCAGGCCTGAAAGAAAGAGGAATGCTGGACAAATTGGCCTCCAGGTTAGAACTTTTGCAGCAGGGCTCCATCACTCGAGGTAGTGTACTTCAACGGAGAGGGCAAAGCTGAGATGCACTTAAAACAAGTGAATCAACCCAGGAGGTGACAGCAGGGAGTTAAGTGCTCCAGTGACTTTGTTCTTGCTGCTGCTTTGTTCCGGGAGAGCTCTTGCCATTTCTGAGTGATACGGTCAACTTCAGATATGGTCATTCTTTCTGAGTGATATGGTCAACTTCAGGTTCATTGCAGTAAAAACTTTTTTTAAAGCTCCCTCCATGCTTCTATTCGTTGTCTCCATAATAAACAGGAAGTGTAGGAGACTGTTTTCATACCAACCTCCGACTTCCAACACTGTGTTGTATTTTTTTAATCTACTGTCTCACTGAAAAGCATCATCACCCAAGACCACAGGCTGCCTCTGCACTATTGGTCCCTTTGATGTCTACCTATCAAGGGCCAAGGGCAAGCGACTGCATTGTAGTTGAGCAAGCTGAGAGCTTAGGGAGGGCCTGAGCCAGACGTCCCAGCACTGCTGGGAGGAGGCAGGACCCCCTGCTATTTTGCAGTTGTTCTGCTCCTTGTTTTTTCCTTTAGTGAAATCATCCATTCTGATCAAAATGCGCATATGTCTCTCATTGTCCCTAGTGCCTCATCTGGGTTCATTCCCAGTTATTCTTTCTCTCACAGTTTGCTTTTGGGTGTGATCTGCACTGCAGTAACAAAACCTTACAAAACCTTTCTGTATAAGAAAACAATGTCACAGTATTTTACCATAAAGCTGGGCCAGATTCAAGTCTCAGTGTCCTTACTGTGGTGTGAGTCTGGAGTACTCCTGCCACAAGAAGTGTGGATGTGTAAGGGGAGGTAATATGCATTTTTCTGGTTAATGCTGCACACATTTTGGCAAGTTGGTTACTGTGAGCCTGATTCTCCCTTGGCATGGACTATGTGCATTGAATTCAGTGGAGCCAGATCACTTGTATCGGCTGAAAACCTGCCCCTTGGCCTCCTTTTAGTTTTTGTTTTGCCTGTTGAAGTGAGAGGAGATATAGCACTTATGATACAAGGTCAGCTGAACTACATGCTGCCCTGTGTGCAGTTCACCATTTCTCCACTGAGCCACCAGAGTCCCAAGTGAATATTGTGCTGGGGATTGTTGTGTCTAGAGATTGAAGCCCTCTCTTCATCCATGGACAAGCAGGGGGGGCATTAGCTTCACCTTGCTGCAACTTGTTCCCAGCTTGAGAGAAGCTCTTCTTGGTCTGATGGCAGTTCAGGCTCCATGCCTCATCCTCTCTGAGCAAGCTGTGCCTAGGTACACCAGCAATAGGATGGTGCTCACCAGCTTATTTCAGGGAAATACTGAGACATATGCTCAGTGCTCCCCTGACTCTTGGGAGTGGTTGATGTCTCTAGTGGGTTATGGAATAGAGAAAATCCCACACAATTTACTGATTTGTTTTGATGCACTGGCTGGGGGAGTAGTTAGCTGATTGCACGATTTCACAATGATTACACACTTAATTTATACAACACAATTTTATTTTAAAACTCTTTGCTACGTATATAACACTGCTTAGCTTTAAGAAACACCACAAACATTAAAAACACAATAATTGCATATATCAGAAACAATGCTCCAAATGCACTTCCTTCCCAAACAATGCTATAAGAATTAGTGTTACAAAAACAACTACAATTACAACTAAAAGTTAAATTTGAATCAATACTGTTATTTTTCATAATACACTTACAATCCTAGAATTCCGAGAAGCCAAATACCAAAATATGGTTTCATTCCTCAGTAGTACAATTTAATGGGTTGGCCTCAGTAGTACGGTTCAATAGGCTGGCCTCAGCAATACGATTCAATGAGCTGGGCTCACCAGTGATAGGACTACGTCCCCTTCCTTCAGTCCCTTTCGGGCGCTCCGCGGCTTCAGCGTGAACTAAGGGATTCGTGTTCACGGAGAGGCTTGATTAGGCGATCAATCTAATCAGAACTTATACTTGCGATTCTTCCTTCGTTGTTCTGCAAGTGAAGTCACCTCCAAATTGGGACAGTAAGTTACAGGTTTTTATTGAGTGAGCTGCCGTCATTGGGCTCCTCCTACTCAATTTATCATACCTCCCAAATTTGGGCTCGGATCTTACTCAACAGAAATTACCTTTGTTGAGCATTTTTTAAATTATTCTTGGGGAGACTTCCATATCACTGTAAATACTTTTTTCTTTTTACCAGTCTGGTTAAAAGGCCTTAGGCTTTGATGTCTCGGAATTTAGGACATTTGCTTTCTTTGTAAAAAACTTCTAAAGGTACAATTTAGATTAAGGTTTTAGGCGAAGTCAGGACATTTCGCACGTAGCTCCAAAACAATGAGCTAGATAAGGAGATAGATCCTATCTTCTTCCTGAAACTGGCTAATGGGCAACCTTTACAAACATTCAAACTATTTCATTCAATATGACAGTTGACTGGGGTTGGGTTTGATCCATGATGCAAAGATGCAAGTTTCCATTTTCAAGCAGTGGTTACATCTCCATATCTCTTTCTAGACATGCTATGCTATCCACAGCCTTTCTCCCCATATTCAAATTAATAAATTGCTCTCTTCCCACTTTTATGCTGGAGCAACCCCCACTGGGAACAGCTGCAGGTAGAAATCAGCCTCCTCCTCCTTTGTTGTTGTTGTTGCTGATGATAATGCACTAGTCTCGAGACTCTCCAGCCAGAATCAGGGGCTCTGTTGTGTCAGGTGCATGTGGGGAGCAGCCCATCCCCCAAAGACACAGTCTAAATCTAGAAGGGTGATCCTTCCCCTCTATGCAACACTGGTCAGGCCGCAGTTGGAGTACTGTGTCCAGTTCTGGGTGCCGCACTTCAGGAGGGATGTGGACAACATGGAGAGGGTCCAGAGGAGGGCCACCCGCATGATCAGGGGGCAGCAGGGCAGGCCTTACGAGGAGAGGCTACAGGACCTGAACCTGTTCAGCCTCCACAAGAGAAGGCTGAGGGGGGATCTAGTGGCCGTTTACAAACTCCATGCAAAAGTCAGAGGGGACCAGCAGGCACTGGGGGAGTCCCTGCTCCCCCGAGCACTGCCAGGAGTGACTAGAAATAACAGTCACAAGCTGGCAGAGGGTAGATTCAGGCTAGACATCAGGAGGCGCTACTTCACTGTCAGGGCGGCTACGACCTGGAACCAGCTTCCAAGACAAGTGGTGCTGGCTCCTACCCCGGGGGTCTTTAAGAGGAGGTTAGACGAATACCTCACTGGGGTCGTTTGACCCCAGTACTTTTTCCTGCCATGGCAAGGAGTTGGACTTAATGATCTGCTCAGGTCCCTTCCGACCCTACCAACTATGAAACTATGAAAAGAGTGGAGGTGTCTTGTCTCAGTTCTACAGGTCAGGATTTGAAGGACACAGAGGCTAAGTGACTTGCCCAAGGTCACATGAGAAGTCTGTGGCAGAGCCAGGAAATGAACCCTAGTCTTCTGAGTTCTTAACCAGTCTCTCAACTGCAAAGCATCATCTCCTCTTTGTAGAGAGTCAGGCAAACTCTGCACTGATGCACACCCAGCACAGTTTCAGTGAGTTTGCTGGGGTTGCTCCATGCTTAAGCCACTATCAAATGCAGAGCAGTCTCTCCTGTCTGTTCAGTTTGTACCTGCAGACTGTCTTGGACTCTTCCTGTCTTTGCAGTTACGACTCACTTCTCTGTTGGATGCCTCTGCTTGCTACAGAATCAGCGTTCCATGCATTCACAACCATCTGTCACAGCAGATGCAGCCCCTCCAACACTCCTTGCTTGGGGAAGCATTAGACATCCGTTACAAGGCGGGGGAGTAAAATCCAGAGACCTTACATATATATCTTATAGGTGCATGGCCCTTTAATAGCAAGAGGTTGCTTTGTCTTTATGGACTTCATACTCTTTGGGCAGTATTGACTCTGGGCTATACTCTCTGCTGCCTAACTTATACTCAGAGCAAACTGACTCAGAGTAAGTCTGTGCTGCAATTAGCCATCTAAATCAGGGCTATGTGAACTGATTCTGATGGAGTATCCAAGGAGAGCCTTTGCCCCAAACTCATACTGCAGCCATCCTTCCCACAAAGACTCTGGTGTTTTGGATTCAGCCATGAACAAGGGATGAAGTTGACCTCTTGGAGCTGACGTGGGAATTCAGGGGCATGCACATCTTCCATTCATGGCACTTGTTGTTTGTTGGGTAGTTTCCTCTGCACTCCATTCACAGAGAAGAAGCACCTATTACACCTCCTAGCTGCAGGTCATCTTTAGTGCCAACTGTAACTGCTTCCCTGACCCCTGGCACCTCCAGTTCCAATCCACAGTCCCAGCCAAGATGGTAGCCATCTAGTAGACTTTTGCATGGAGTTGATTTCATCCAGGTAGTGGAAGTAGTTATACCATTTAAGGTTACCTGACCCTTATAGTATTTGAGGGCTGAATGGAAATAAGGAATAGTGGAAAGCTTATAAGCGAAATAGAATTTTGTACAGTCCATTCTATATTTTAATGTGTCATCAATCAGGCATTTTACTTTCATTTAAAATAAATCCAGTGGGAGGAAAATAGTAGCATTAGTATTGCACCAGAATCAGAAAGCTGGCCATGACTTGGATGTCTAAAGGTAGGCTCATAAATCCATATCTGGGTTCCTAAGTAACAGCCTGATTGTTTTCAAAGGCACTGGACAACCGCAAACCAGTCATGTAAGGCAGGCTATTAGACAGAGTGTCTAAATGTCGATTTAGGAATCTAACTTAAGTGTCTAACGTTTGAAAATGTTAGCCAAAAATTCCCAGAGCTACTGTCACAGGACCATGTAAGGTATATTGTAATATAAGATATAAATGTGTAAGCCCAATCAGCAGTCATTACATACACAATCTTAATTTGATCAAAGGCAACTTTACTCTTAATTGTGGGTTTCCCTGCCACATGTGCATTAAATTTCTCCATTGTTACATTGTCTGTAGCATTTTCTGCTACTAAAGCATTTAAACACATCCGTGGCTTTGGGCCTGTAAGTAATCCCATCGCAGTCCTTACAGTTAAGTGTGTGCTTAAATATTTTGCTGGACTGGGAGTTAAACCAATTTATAAATATTAATTAACCAAGAGTCCAGTCAGCTTAGTACACAGCTCAGGGCAGGAGCCAGGAAGGGAGTAAGGGACTTCACCTCTTTGTGCAGCATATATTGGAGTCAGAATTACAACCCGGATTCTCAAGGGAATGAAAGGACTGTGTGCTTCCTGTTGCCCTGGGGAATGCTCCAAAGAGGGTAGGGAAA